ACATTTTACCATAATTTAAAAAATGTAATTATTAAAAAAGTAATGAAGATCAACCGACACTTGACCTCAGTACTGGAACAATAAAGAAGAGCAGGGGCCTATGGCAAAGTAGGGGTGTACGTGGCCTATCTAAAGGGAGAGCTGTTACCCAGCTAATTGCAATTTTGTGCAGCTAATTGTTGCCACACAGAAGTCCTGCATCATCAGATATTCCTGTTTTTCAAATCAACACAGGTTTTTACTTGAAACATCTTAAGTCTTAAATGTTGGCAGGTGATTTCAAAAGTCTACAAGTATAGACCAAACTAAACACATTTATGGGTCACTGGTTAATGACCTCTGATTCAAATCTCTTAAGAAATCTGACTGTATTTATATTTGAAGTTGATAAACAATCGCGTTAATAGACATAATTTAAAATTCAGTATTTTTTAAGTTATGACACCAGTTAATAAAGCTTGAATATTTGGCAGCACAACCACCAGAAAATTGGAATTGTTGGGAATCTCCAAAATGCTCTATGTTCGCATTTATTTATTTTGCACTTAAAACTACATGCATTAAATCGGTTAGGCCATACCGTTCCTGTGAAACAATGATTAATCCTTCTCCTTTTTGTTGCACAGCTCCATAACCTCAAGGCACAGACAAACGGCTTACCAAGCCAAGAGCAAGGACCGGGTGGATGTGCTGGAAGCTCTTGGCCTTATCTCAGCAGCTGTGCTTTAACACAAGGCACAGCATGAACGGGTGAGAAATATCGTCACGAAGGCCGCTGCAGTGTGGGAGCTGGAAGGGGGACCACAGAGAGGCAGATGCCAGCCCAGAACTCGCCTGAGTGGTCAGGAAGCCACTAGGGAGGAGGGAATCCTCGGGAGGTGCTCGCACCCCCAGCCCTTGTTCTCCAGGAGACAGAGGTGAGGACGGAAGGAGTGTGCAGTGCGAGAAGCAGCATCTCCAGGACTAAACCAGGAGAGCTGAAGGGCTAGGGCATTAGGTCCACCTAGGAACTTGGCGCTGGCCGTACGTTATGAACCACGAATCCAGAAAAGTGTGAGACTTCGGATCATTTATCATTTCTGGATAAATGATCTAGAATTCTCATTACCAGGCCTTGGCGGGTAACCCTCAGATTTCTCTTGGAGAGAACTTTACTGGGGGAAATACCCTGGTAAGCTTGGAGTAGAAGGTAAAATGATGCAGCAAAACAACCAGAACCTGGTCTAAATTAAGAAAAAAGGCATTTTGAGTCTTGCTCTGGTTTGTCATGAGGAGCAGGGAAAATGTGGAGTTGGAAGGGACTGAAAAAAGAAAGATCTGTAGCAGTCTTAAAGGTTCCCACTTCAATTACGGCTGTACCTGGACAGGGCTTGGCCTCCAGGCCAGTAGATTGCCCAGTAAGGATCACCGTGGGGCCACCGGTCAGCTCTTTCCCACCAGAACTTGCATCTAGGGGTCAAAAGCCGCAACTGGATTTCAGGGGTGAGGCTGCCACTTCTGGTGACTTCGGTGTTTGCTTCCAGAAAAGCTTTCATCTCGGGGTCCAGAAAGCTTTCAGTTCCTCTCCAGGGGCAGTGGCCCCAGGAAAACAAGGGAGGACTGCAGCGTCCTGCAGCTTTCGGAAAGACACCCCAGCGGTTCGTGGCCAACAGTGCAAATGCTCTCCAGCCTGGGCTCCAAGCCATCAGTCCTCTTCCAGGCCACAGGTCTGTCAACGCTGCTGTGGATGAGAACTGCTCCTCGTGTGGAAAAAATAAGGGTCTGCTGCCAACGTGATCTCAACTGGAATCTCTGGATCTCTAAAACCAGAAGTAATACTAAAAATCCCAAGACTCACTGACACTTCCAAATCCTATCACATAGTAAGAAAATATTAGAGGCAGATGCTTTCAAGAGCAAGTTCATTTTAGATGAGCGTTCATGCATCAATTTAGGAAGAGCCAGTCTTTTAAAAGGAAGCCTCTTCACAATGGAATCCTTTCAATAACTTAGAACAACAAATATACAAGCTTTTGATTTTGAGATAAATCCTCAGGAAGATGCCTATTACATAAAATAAGGTATACTTTTAATGTTCTTTCATACATTTAACAACTCACTTATCTTCAAGCAGGCACTGTGCTTGTCAACTATGAACAAAAAAGTGTCCATGTTCAGGAAGCTTAGATTCTAGTACTGGGATAGAGCAATTAACAGGGCAAATAGTTCTTGCCTTTATGAAGTGTAGCTAAGAGTTGTGGAAGTTGACAAACTGTAATTGTTCACAGGCAGATGTATCAAATTATACTGAGTACACTCTATTTCAATAGATTGTCGTAGCATAGAAGCTCAGTGTACTTAAGATTCAGATTTTAAAAAAACTTCATGAATGTAATTGCAATAAGAGTATCAACTCCCAAATCTTTTTGTAAATCTGATGATTCTTTACCAAGCGTGAGTTGAAAAGCCTTGTTCCAATTTAAAAAACACCTTGATAAGAATAAGTAGGAATGAGCAACAGCAGTTTAACCACAAATTATACACCCAGTGGTTTGGGATCTCTGATCTGTTCTGCATAAATGTTGTAAATTGTCTTATATCCACCACCTAAGTATTTGGAGTAGAGGATCCAAATTCAGCGGCCTACCAGGGGCCAGAATGGTGATGAATGAATGATAAATGGTAAATGAGTGATCAAGTTATGGAATAACAGAGAGGCTGTGGCAAACTGGAGGCTTTTAAACAATCCTACGGGGTCAGCAAACTGCGGTCAGGCAGGAGGAACACGTGGCCAGATCTTCCAATTTCTCAGGAAAATCCAGATACTTACACATTAAACTCCCACCTTTAAAAGCTGGCCATTTTAACTACAATATTAAAACACAAGGCAGGCCAAAATGCTGTCAGGCCACCAGTGTGTGAACTCGGGGTAGATTACTCAATGTCAGTGATCCCACATTTATGCCCTTAGAACCAGGGTCCTGCCTGACTCACTGCACTAATCCTGTTAGCAAGTGATGGGTCAGCCCTTGAGCCGCGCAAACCGAAGGTTTAAAAACAAAAGCGGAGCAAATACGAGGTGACTTTGCTCTGGGACGCCGGGTCCCAAAACCCGGCGCTCCCCTCCCGCCCCAGCGCCCATGAAGCATCGGTATGAATAGGTGACTTTTGAGGGAGACGCCTGGGGCACGTATTAACTGGTAAGGAGGTAAAGGTTAAAGAGGGTAAATTCCGCAAGTGTGTGTGACCCTGTGACTTCCCTGCAAGGAGGACAGGGGCCGCTCCTGAGCCAGACACAGTCCTCGCCGCGCCTTACCTGGCTTGGCTAACACTCCCAGGAAGCTGTGCACCTGCCGCCGCGCCTATTCGCGCGGGGACGCGGCTGCGCAGAGGGATGGCCACGCCCCTCCCTCCGCGCTCCTGCCCCGCCCCGTTCCCAGCAGCGCTTTCGCTCCCGGGTCCTGCGCCGCCTTAAAGGAGCAGGCCGTGCGAAACCCGACGGCGCGCGCAGCCCGCTCAGGAAATCAGGGAACGTCCAATTCAGATTTCTGAAAACCCGTTCTGAAATTGTGAAGCATCTGCTTTGTGCCAGTCACACCTCTAGGCACTGGGTATAGAGTGGTGAGCAAAACAGACACAGATTAGGGTCAACTGAGATTAAATCATAATGTAGGTATGTCTCCCTTTTATAATAATTTTCATAAATGTGCCATCTTAATCCACTTGCAACCTGTATACTCCAGTTCTGGACCCATAGATCCATCTTCCAACCCCTCAACACATTCCAACATTAACTCGCCATCTCACCGAACAACACTTAAAACCTGCTAATGGGATGTCAACGGGGGAAAAAAATGGACCCAGACTATGAAATCGGCAAACCATGTTTCTGCACCCTAATTTGCAGGTTGAGAAATGAACTGGCTATTTAAAATTAGAGTTTATCTCTTGGGTTCTCTGATTCTGTTTGGTTGCCCATTTTTGCTGGAATCTCTAGGAGCTGCTGCAGGGGACTAAAACGTTTATTCCAATTAACAGCAACGGAACAGCTAAAAGTGCATCCTTACCATTTGCCTCTGAGATAGATGGCTGTATTTATTTCAGACTGATAGGCTACACACCTGGCACTGCAGAGTATTCTGCTCTAGAATTCCTCTATTATAACAGGAAAAGCTTGGCATCTCTGCCTCCATACTGCAGCTGTCTCCTTTGCTGCCTTAACGTTTGGGCCAACAGGAGGGGAGGGAAAAAAAGGGTGGGGAGAAGGGCTTCTGCTCAGCCCTGCAGCCCTGCAGCCCTGCTCGTAGCCTTGTTGATCATCAAAAGGAATTTTGCTTACAGTTTGAGATTTCTGCAAAGAGCACCTGACCCGAAGCTTGCCTCCTCCAGGAGATAGGGAAACATGTATGAAAATAATGACTGCCTTGTCGAAGAGTTTTAGGGACATCAGTGAGCAAAGCAAGGACACGGAGTTCTCAGCTCTCTTTGGACCCTCACTGGCGCCCTGATGTCTGCAGCCTTCAAGTCTCTCCCCAACCTGCTCGTCCTCCTGCTCCCCCTCTTTCCCTAACATAAAAGAAGCTTGCAAACAACCGTTTAAAATGGGGCTTGAGGACAGGAATCTGCCACCTTCTCAGTCTGCTGGCTTCCTGAATAAAGCCGCTTTTCTTGCCCCAATACCTTGTCTCCCAACTTACTGGTGTGTCCTGCGATGAGTGGCATGAGCTTAGTTTAGACTCGGTAATACTGTAAGAACTAATACAGGTGTTTTTATGACTGCGAGTAAAACCATATCCATTAACTCCCTAGTTGCTTTTTTAAATATTAGCTGCTGATGTAAACCTTTGTTTTCTCTACTATAATTTCTTGTTTCCATACACTCTCTCATTCTCTTGCTAACAATAAACTTTAATGCGTGTTTAAGATCAATTTGCCTAGGAATTGTTTGTAACCAGCGTCTGTGTTCTGTCCAGTGAATAGCAAGGCATTCCAATCCTGGCACTAGAAACGGGGGGGAGGAAGCGAGTTTGACATTTTACAAAAGAGGGCTTCCGGTAAAAATCTGGGTTTGTCGCTGAAGATGACTTTACTAATATGAAGATACCTTATCGAAGACTTGGAACTAGGCTGAAGGGACTGCTCCATGTCCTTTCCTCGCTTTAATAGTTTTTAAATTGATCCATTTCTTTCCATCCCTCCTGCTGTGGCCTTAGTTCAGCTTTATGTTCATTTGCCCAAATTCCTGTAACTGGTCTCTCTCCAGTCCTGGCTTCCTCTATCTCATTCTTTACGGTGCAGTTTAAAACTGTTTTGTTTGTTTGTTTTTGCTGAAACTTACATTCTATGGTCCAAGAAAAATGCCTTACATTCCTGTAAGATAAGAGAAGCTGGATAAACCATGAAAAACAGAAAAGACTTTCTTTTCTACTGTTTGATTGTCGATCTGTTGTTATATTCTAATTGAAAGAAAGAACTGTCTGGCTTTTATCAGAACTGACCCAGAGGCAACCAATTCATCACCTGTCTGATAACAATTGAGCTATCATCTGACCTTGTGATTTTTGCATTTATGTATCCTCCTACATTTTTGTTCATAGAGCCAGTTCTCTAATAATGGGAAACTCTTGCAAGTGGAAAATTTTATTCCATACTCAAATTTGTGTGTAAGGGTTCTTTTGTGTGGGGGGGGGGGCAAATTATTCGATTTTATTTATTAGCTGTATGACTTTCGGTCCATTATAAAATCTTCCTAATGAAGGGGATCACTATGGCACCCATTATGTGCCACTCTAGCATAGAAGTGATTTTGAACTGAAGGCATTTGAGTTCCTCACATCCCTTATCTGCTTAATGCAGAGCCCAAAAGAACTCAATTGTCATACAACCCCTACCTGAGAGTACTTGAGAAGTGGATACCACACCCAAACTAGACGGTTGTTCAAAACTATCATTATCTGCTATCTCTTTCCCTAAAGGACCATTTGTCTTTCCAAAAAGTCATTCCTCTAAGTGCCCTTTGTCTCCTGCCCCATCACCTAAGTTAGGTATGTAAGCACCAAATTCTAACACCCCTTTGAGCTGCTCCTTGCTTCTCCTACTTGTATGAATTGCACCTGTAAACTATTTTTTTGCCTCCTGATTAATCTTTCTTTTGTCAGTTCAATTTGCAGTTCTCGACACTAATATGAAAACGTAGAGGAAAGTCTTTCCTCCCTTATACTAAGAATCAGTTTGTTTGTTTTCTAAGGTGGTGTAGGGACCAAGGGCAGGCTGCCCCAGGATGTGCCATCGTGACAAGCAGATTATTTGAGAGTTGAGATCAAGGCCCAAAAGACTCAGAAAGAAACTTTGACCTCCCACCCCCAGCTGGGTAAAAGAATTTAGAAAGAGGACCTCCGGGAAGAGAGCTGTCCCCACAGAGAGCTATATCATAGCGTAAACTGGGGGCAGTGGACAGGGAGGGATGTAGCTAAGTCTGTTAAAATTACTCTCGGTGTCCCCCCCCCCCCATTGTTTCTGTGTGGCCCATCAAGTATTTGTTTATCAAACATTTACTCTTTTCATATTCCCGTGAGTGACTTTCCTTTTCCTTTGAAGTCTCAGACCTCTATCCCCTTAAGGTGCCAGGTTCAGGACGACCCACATACCTCATTCTCCCAAGACTGTCTCTGAAACTCGTACTTACGTAATTAAAATCTGTTTATTTTTTCTCCTGTTAATCTGTCTGCTGTCATTGGATTCTTAGGCCAGCCAGGAGAACTTCAAGGGCTAGAGGAAGTTTCTTCCTTCCCAACAATAGTGATTAACAGATTTGATGAGATTAAAGTAAAATGTTCAGCACAGTTCCTGGCTGTGGGTAAAATTGTAGTATTTCCAGAATATCTCACCTGGCTTTGGTATATCTGCATATCAACAGGCGTTCAGAGGTGTAAAGAAGTAGGCTTTAGCGCGTTTGCATCTTCATCTCCACATCAGTGGGTAATTACCTGGGCAACGGTGGGCTTACCTGTACCTGAGAGGCGAGGGGGAGGGCCGGTGTGGTTGCTGCTTGAGCAGCAGAGGGAGCTCTTGGGCCGGCGGCAGTTTTGTAAGACCTTTTTTTTTCACCCCAAAGAGCGTTTTCCGGTCAATTTCTTTGGTCACACTGAATCCATAGCGAACTTGCCCGGGCTGAAATCCGTTAGCAAGACACTGGCATACAGGGAACGCTTGATAAGTGCACCAAAACTGCAATCATCATTATTGAAAATAGGGAGGTAGTGTTGGTAAGGTACAAGAGTGGAGGCAGAAGATCAGGTTTTCAGCTAAGAGCTGAGTTTTAGTAAAACGTTTTCAGCTTCAGGTAGCAGATAGAGGGGCAGGACTGAAGACAAGGAGACCACCAGTTGGAGGATATTGTGATACAAGCAGAGCAGAGCTGAGACAAGTGCAGAGTGATGGAAAGAACCGGACCCATCTGAAGGTGATTCAGGGAAAGCTGTTCGCGGGACTTGGAGACTGATTATATGTGCTGGTCTGACCACAGTGGCAGACAGCCCAAGGGCACTTGGTTTTTCCTTCTCGACTTGACCCTCCTGTGCTCTTAAGCACCTTGCTATCTGATCACATTTCCTCTTGCTTAGAATCTCCCTGGTTCCCCAGGACTTAAATATCAGAGCCAACTTCTAGTCACGACTTCCCGGGCTCTTGGTGACCAGCCCCTACTTATCTACCCCGCCTTATTTCAAAACCTTCCTCCTCTCGCCTGCAGTTCGCTTTCCCCCCATAGGACCTTGTCCTCTCACCTTCGGTTTTGCTGAGACAGAGCCCACGCCACGCGCACACACACACACACACACACACACACACACACACACACACACACCGCCACACTGCCCCTAACCACCTCCCCGTCCTTCAGAATGCAGCTTGGTTCACGGCCCCCTGAAAATCCTTCCCCAACACGCGCTCATCTCGACTGTTCTCTGTTCCTAGCATCCTGTGGGTTTATCCAACAGGAACATGATCAGGATTGCCATCGCCGGACTCCTCTCCTAAGAGGCCGACCATCTCATTCCTCTTTTATCTTCTAGCACAGTTAAGACACTCGACGACTTCTGTTAAATGAAAGAAAAAGCAAATAAATGAGTACATTTGTTAGGTAGGAAAATAGATACGGGCAGGTTGGAGAGAGAATAAGGCCAGTAAAGCCCACCACAAGGGACTCAAAGAGTTAACCAGATAAAACTGGAGAACCAGAAAAGTTTCAGAATTAATGAGTTAAGCAGTGGAAGCTCTAAAGGCTAGGAGTAACTTAGAATGTCTGGATATTCCCCGCACAAAGGAGTCTCCGAGCGCAGCCCACATCTTCGTTGTGTCAATTAGGTCATGTCATTGTAAGATTTGCTTTAGCCTGCTGAAAGGCGCAGCTTATTC